AACAAAAATAAATAAATAATAATTTTAAAATTTTCTAGCAACTTATATTCTAATAATAGCTTATCAATAATTTTAAAATTGTCTAGCAACTTATATTTAATAATATTTATATGCTAAAATATACATACAAAATATAAATAATTAAAATTAAAAATTAAACAATAAAACCCGGGCGTAGCCCGGGCCAACCCCTAGTTTTTAAATAAAATTGCCAAAAATAAAAATATCTAGTGCAAATGCACTGAGAACTCAGTCAAGTAGCTTCACTATACGTATGATAGACTCCTAATTAACATAGTATGAATGTCTATAAACATCCTTACTGGTAAATAATCTACCAAAAATATCTCAACAATTATTTTTATCAACATTGTGTGATAGTGCCATTATATTCACAAAAGAAATGTATTTTGTCGCATAGCAAAAGAGATTTTTCCAACTTTTGTTGCTCTAAAACTTATGTAGAAGAATTGTAGCCAGCTTACTAATTATATGGGCTATAATGGGCCCGTGAAGCCGTATGAATAAGCCCATTACGGTTCATTAAGCTCTTAATTTCCGAGCCCAGTTTGCTAATCCTTAATAATTATTGTCGTCGTCGTATCTCAGAGACGACGAAGTCTCTCAACCCCGATGGCTACGAAGCTTCAGAAATGGCTCAACCTGCCAAATCGTATAGATCTGACATCACGGAGATCCGCTCAATCGACGATACGTCTCCTCCACGAAGGTCCAGACACCATGGAGGAGCTCTTCGATAGACACCTGGCGAAGAAGGAGAAACCGCCGCTGATCAACGACGACGAGGCGGAGTATCTGAACAGACGGCGTCTGACGAGCACGCGCCGCGAGGCGCTGAGTTTATACAGGGATATATTACGCGCGACGCGGTTCTACGTGTGGACGGATTCGAGGGGAGCCTTGTGGAGAGACGTGCTGAGAGAGAACGCTAGGAAGGAGTTCGAGGCTGCGAGGTTTGAGACGGATCCGGAGGTTATCACGAGGTTGTTGATCGGTGGAAGCGACGCCGTTTCGTCTGCTTTGGATAAGTTGGCGGAGAAGCAGAAGGAGATGATTGATAAAAGAAACCGAAACGACCAACCATGAATTCGATGTTTTTTTTTTCTTTTTTTAATTGCCTAATCAGTTTAAACTGTGTGTTGTTTTGTTAATTGGTCTTTTTGATCAGGTGTATGTCTGAAACAATTGTCGACAAAAAAAAAGTATGTCTGAAACAATTTATGTTATATACAAAAAAACACTTAACAGGCAGCTACTGATAGAGATGAAAAGAAATGAGAGTTGTTGTAACTTAAGAATACCAAAGATGGTAACAGGACACTGGTCTTGTCATAAAAAACTTAGCAGGCTACTGATCAATCATTATTCTCCGTTTGTGCCTCTGTTATCTTTTATTGTACATTGTGTGTGGCGAGAAGGAAGGAGGCGAAAGAGAAGGTGTTTATAAGCTTAGCTGCTGTTGTTTTTTTGTTGGGTTTTGAATATTTTTGAAAGTACACGTAGATGTTTTTGGTTCCTTCTCATTTGAGCTTATACAACCCTTAACTCTTACTATAAACACGGCTTTGATCATGAAACTGAGACTACTCTTTTTGTTACGTCAAAGATCTTCAGAGAGACGTTTAATTGCTTGTTGTTTGCAAGGATATGATAGTGGCGTTCGATGATATCTCACATGCTCAGCAGAATCAATGGCCGTGACTATGAGTTATTAACCAAAATCGAGAGATTATTCCACCTGCCAAAAGAAAGAAAAACCCACGACTTAAGAAGACTCAGCATGACCAAAGTGTCTAATGAAAACAGAGTACCTTAGCATCTTAATTTTAATATCTTAATATTAAGTAAAAAACGCAGAGTTTGGTGGTTACCTTTTGTCTGCCGCTTCTACGAAGAAGGCCTACTATCTCTGCAAGATCAGGAGGCGGTGGACATGAAAACTTTATGGTTTCTCCGGTGCATGGATGTTCAAAGCTGTGTAAGAAAATAAAATAGAGAAAAACAGTTATTACAGGAACTGTGTCTTCTCTTGAGTTCTGGAGTTGAGATTATAAGACTTTGATTTTGAGTTTTCTCTCTTACCCGAGGACTATAGCATGAAGGCAAGGCCTATCCATTCTGGAAACAAGGTTTATGATCTCTTCTTGATCACTGCGGGAGACTCTTTTCTGCAGAAGAGATAGCGCCATGCTTTTCGTTCCTCCATACACTTCATCACCCAGTAGAGGTACTCCCATATACTTGGCATGAGCACGTATCTAAACTCAAATTAAGATGAATAGAGACACGTTTTAGAGGTTAAAGTCAAACTCTTACAGACAAAGATGTGAACCAATAAAGAAACAGTTCATAGATATCGAGTTCTTCCTTCATATGGAGAGAGACTACCTGATGGGTACGGCCAGTTTCTAGTCTCCACTCAACCAAAGCAGAGCCGCCTCCAGCGAGTGTTTCAATTACCTTATACCTAATAAAACATGAGAATGTGTGAGTTCTTAAGAACATGCGCAGTGTTGTAGTGGTTGGTGCACTTGTAAAAAGACTGCTCATCATCACCTACTAGCAGCATGACGAGCCCTACCACGACTTAATGATCCAGGTATAGCAGCCATACGGATCCTATTATTCGAATCACGACCAATTGGTACATCAATCCTCCCCTGAGACGGAGAAGGAACTCCACAGGTAAGACTTATATAAACCCTCTCAATCGTATGCAACTTAAACTGTTCCGCCAAATGAGCATGAGAATACTCATCCTGCCATCACCAACCACACATTCTCATTACAACTCAGAAAGTTAAAACTTGTAAAAAACAAAAGCAGAACAAGACAAGAGAGCTAACCTTAGCTACAACAAGCAACCCACTAGTCCCTTTATCCAACCTATGAACAATCCCTGGCCTAACAGAACTCATCTCTTCATCATCTGAAAACGTTTCTTCTTCTTCATCCGAATAAGCAGCAACACAAGGGAGACTACAATGATGAAGTATACCATTAACAAGCGTCCCACTAGGATTCCCAGGAGCAGGATGAACAACCTAAAACCCACTCAAAACACCAACAAAGATTCTTCTTAAAGATTAAACCTTTTTTTGAAGTATTCAAAGAAACACGTGATTACCATGTGAGGTGGTTTATTAACAACAAGAACATGTTGATCCTCGTAAACTATATCTAACGGTATGTCTTCAGCTTCAGCTCTCAAAGGTTGAAGCTTTGATATCATACAATAAACCTCATCGCCAGCTTTTACATTGTGTGAAACCTGCAAGAGATAAAGGTGAGAACTTGTTTGAATAATTTGGAGAATTTGAAAGTTTGAAACCTTGTCGATGACTTGGCCATTGACGGAGACGAGGCCTTGACGGATGCTGGACTGTACGCGAGCTCGGCTGACGCCGTGGACGCGTGAGGAGATCCATGAGTCGAGACGGAGCTTTCCTTTGGTGACTTCGACTGTTTCGTTGAGTTTGAGGCCGGAGTTGTTGACTCTTGTGATGGTCTCCGGCGTTGAATTTGGGGTTTGGGAAGTTGCGGTGATGAATTTTGAGACTTTAGGGAAGAAGGAGAAGCGGAGAGATTTCACGGAGGTTAAGGAGAAGCTCGGCACCGGAGAGATGGAGAGCATCGTCGTCGTCGTCAGCTTCAAAACTTCCGATTTGCTCTTTTAGTCTCTTATTAGCCTTTTGGTTGCTTCACTCAAAACCAGCTCGAAGCTTCTGCGGGATGCAGAAGGTTTGGTGTTTTTAAAAGCCGTTAAAAATACAGCTTCTAAATGTCTAGCCAAGCGACTTCGGTTTTCCGAAACCGAATCGAACCGTCGGTTTTCGGTCAACCGGAAATTTTGAAACCTATTCCGAAATAACCGAATTAAATATTAGTTCGGTTCGGTGGATTTAGGTTTTTGAAACTATTTTCAAAAATAACCGGTTTTATTGGATTTTGGTTAATTCCGGTATAATTTTGCAGAAAAATCGGATATTTTTTGTTATTTCGGTTAAGTTCGGATATTTTCAGTTTTTTTTTGTTTAATTCGATTCAGTTTTTCGGTTATTTTCGGTTTTTTAATTTTTAAAAAAAAGAAAATCAAAAACCGAACCGAACCGAGCAAAAAACCGAATTCTTTTCATAATCATACCAAACTAAACCGAAATGAAAACCGAAAACCAAAAATTTCGGTTCGGACCGTTCAGTTCGGTTTAAAGTCGCAGGCCTATAAATGTCCATGGGTCTTGAGTTGGGCCGTAAAAGGCTTTTCCGAAAACTTTACTTTCATTAACGAGCCGTTTAAAATCTGTTTTAGGTTTGGACACGTTCGGTCTCCGTTTGTGTAATAAAAAAAAAAGTAGAAGCAAAATTAGTTTTTAAGAGAGTGTAGAGAGTGTAGAGAGAGATAGAAAGAGGAAAGAGATGGTGATTTTGGTTAGTGAATGAATTTTAGTTTTTCTTTAGTGTTACTGTGGCAAACTTCGCTATTCAAATTCGCGTAGGTACACACAAATCATTTCATTCGTGTTATTATAATTTGTTTTACACTTTATTAATGGTAGAAGCAAAGCATCCGTAAGTATAGTTGAATATATCATCTGATCAGCTTCGCATCTGAATGATCTGTAGTTCCTTTCGTCATCATCGCCACAAACTCCTCGTAGTTTATTCTCCCATCCTATCATTCATCATCAATCATCATTTATAGAAATCGAGAAAAAAAGATTTTACTAAGAAGAAATGTGTTTCTTACGTTGTCAGTATCAACATCATTGATGACTTCATCTATGGTAGCATCATCACCCATTCCATACTGAGTCATGGAATGTTTAAGCTCGTCCCTTGTGATGAATCTTGATTTGAAGAAAAACATAAAAGAATACGTTAGGTATGTAATTTCATCTTTTTTTTCTTTTTTTTTTTATGTAATTTCCATCTTTTATATAGCTGTATGACAGACAATACAAGAAGAAAAAAAAATTTCACAAACCCGCTTCTGTCTTTGTCAAAGTATTTGAATGCTTCTAGTAAATGCTCTTCTTTCTCCAGTCTATGCCTATGCATTGTAGCAGTTATGAACTCAATGTAATCAATCGTCCCGCTTTTATCCACATCAGCCTGTGAATAAAACCATTAACAAGCCTAATAATGTAACTATATCACTAAGTGGGTTTGTTTTCTTGTCTTCTTACAGCTTCCATGAGTTGTTTGATTTCAGATTCGGTAAGTTTAGAACCAAGACGATGTAAACCGGTTCTTAGTTCATCAAAAGTGATGGTGCCACTTCCATCTGTATCCATGTTCTTAAACATCTGCTTTAATCCCTTAATCTCTTCTTCTGATAAGTTTTCCGCAATCACCTATTGAACAAACACACAAAAGTCAAATTACATGTTCTTGACATCAACTTTGATGATAGGAGTATCATTTTACTTTACCTTCAAGGCAAGCTTCTTGAGCTTGTTCATCGCGCGAAACTGCTTCATCCTAATAAGGACAGCACTATCTATTGGTTTATCTGAAACTTCTCTATCCGTCAACCATGGATGCTCTGTTTGTTTTTGCCAATATTCAAACGGTAACAAAAGAACGGTTACTTAGTTAGCTACAAGGTAATATATAATGTGTCACAAATCAAGACATATACCAAGTGCTTCAGCTGCAGTAATCCGTGTTTTAGGGTCTCTTGCCAACATCTTTCTTATCAAGTCTTTTGCACTTTCCGATATAGAAGGCCAAGGAGAAGATTCAAGGTCCAATTTTCCTTCTAAGACCGCCTCGAATATAGTCTTCTCCGTCTCTAAAACAACATGAAATTGAGTATGAGTGTGTGGATAATAATAAGCTTTAGATTCACAAAAGTTGTTTTAACATACCACCCCAAAACGGAGGAACACCACTTAGAAGAATGTAAAGCATGACACCAGCGCTCCATACATCGACCTCTTTACCATAGTTTCGATATAGAACTTGAGGTGCAACGTAGTATGCGCTACCCACTACATCTTTGTACACTTTACCTACACAAAATAAAGTTGGTACTTGTTACGTGTAACAAATACAATCTTATTACATCTCTACAGTTTCAAGTCTTTTGTTTTTCCTAGTGTGAATCAAAATTTTGAAAAAGGAAGACTTTCACATCAAATAGTATCTGTTGTACTATCCTTTTGGACCATTTTATTTTCATTTTTTCAATTATTATAGCACATCACTTGACTTAGTGGTTGACCCAAGTCGTTTTCGAAGTTGACTTGGTGTCCTCACTAGATTGATCCCACACCGAGAGGAGATACAATGTCGCTATCTTTATACCACAAAGTTAAAACATATAGTTTATGTCCTAAACACACTCAACAAAGACAAACCTTTGAACAAGACGACCCTTATTCTTAAAAAAATATTAATCCCTCAGTTTCTAGTTTTTAATACCATTTTAAAGATTTTGTTTTTGTGTTTCAAATTATACTAGGTGTTTTGCCCGCCATGCGGGCTTAAGCCTTTTATAATTATTTGTTAGTAAATATATTAATAATAAAAATTAGAAGCATAAATTATTATTTGTGTTTTCATTTTGAAATTTTTTATTTAGCTTAAAAATTATTCAATATTATCTTTTCAATTATATAAAATTAAGAATTTTAATTAATTAATATGTAATTATTTGTTTTCTGCTTTTGAATTTTTAAATATTTTATCAAAAGATTAGTTTTTGGATAACAATACAATTTATATAGGAATTATTTTTTTTTAAAATAAAATATATTTTTAGATTTTGAATAACTCTTATTGTTATTATTTAAAATAACTTATCTAATTAAATAAATTTAAATTCGTTTTTATATTTAATTAATTCATATAATTTATTCATTAAGGGTATAAACGATATTAACCTCTCTAACTTTTAACGTGGTAGCTCCGTTGCGAAAAATCACTTCGCAAATAATAGTATATATAACGTTTTCAGTTTTTTTTTGTATTGAATACTTATTACTAGGTGTTTTGCCCGCACATGCGGGCTTAATTATCTTTAAACTATTTAAAAATCATCAAAATAAATGATATTTGAATCCAAAAAATGTAACCTAAAACATTAATTTTTTTACATGATATATTTATTCACAAATTAAAAAAAATATACTTCTTCCTTTTAAACTTTAAAAAAATCTGAAGTCTATTTCATTTCTTCTTAATTAATAAAAATATAGAAATCTATCTTTCAATTTGAAAAATTGAATCGATAAATATACATTCAAAATTGATCTTACAAAAAGAATAATATTAGTTTAGATAATAATACAATTAATATTTATTTTTGCCAAACACTTTTTTTTTGTTTTGAATGATTTTTTATTTTATTATGATAAATTTATGTTTTATGTTTTTGAAATTTATTCATTAAATATATTTTTCGGATAACAACACAATATATATAGGAATTATCTTTTTATTTTTAAATATATATTTAGATTATGGATAATTATTATCATTATTATTAATTTAAATCATTTATCTAATCAAATAAATATTAAATTCGTTTTTATTATTGGCTGATTTATATATTTATTCATTAAGGGTAATATCGATATTAACCACTCTAACTTTTAACGTGAGAGCTCCGTTGCGAAAAATCACTTCGCAAATAATAGTATAGATTTTTTATTTAGAAATATAAAAATTAAACTTTTTTAACATATTTACACAATTTTAAAGATTAGTTAACCCAAATGATATAAATTTATATTTACTTATTTTTGATAAAATATTTAAATTTATTTTGATCATTTTTATTTCTAAAATTTATATTTTGTAACAAAAATTTTTTTAGGTCTAACCTAAAAAAATCTTATTTTTTTTTTCTTTTTTAAAAAGGGCTAAAATATACTTCTGATTATGTTGTAAACACACTCAATAAAGACAAACCTTTGAACAAGACGACCCTTAAATATATATATTTTTTTAAATTATTCCCTCAGGTCTAGTAGTTTTTAAAATCTTATGTTTTAGATGTTTTCTTGTTTCAAATAATTATATATTTTTTTAACATGTGCACACAATTTTAAACCGTCATCTAATAATGTGAAGAGGATGAAGTCTTGTTATATTACCTTCTTCGATGAAAACAGAGAGACCAAAGTCTGTAGCCTTAATAGGAGAATCATCATCCGTACTAACAAGCAAGAAGTTCTCAGGCTTCAAGTCTCTATGAAGAACACCCATGAAATGACAAACATGAACAACGTTCACAATCTGTCTGAAAATATTAGCAGCTTCTTTCTCAGAGTAACTCCCTTTCTTGATAATACGATCAAAAAGCTCTCCTCCAGAACAAAGCTCCATAACCAAATGAATATTGTCTTTATCCTCGTAAGCACCTCGAAACTCAACTATGTTTGGTTGACCAGTGAGATGCTGCAAGATCATGACCTCACGTCTCACGTCTTCTATGTCTTTCTGACGTATGAGTTTGCGTTTTGAGATTGATTTGCATGCGTATTCTCGACCGTTGGATTTGTCTGTGCAACGGTACGTGATGCCGAATTGGCCACGGCCTAGTTCTTTGTGGAGGTCGTAGAGAGCTGAGAGATCGATCATTGGCCGGTTAAGGATTGGACCGATTTGTGAACCGGAGGAGGAAGGTGGTGGAGGTGGTTTGGGTTTGGGAGTGGTGGGGAAAGTACTGGTTTGGGGTTGAGGATTGGTTGGTTTAGGGAGAGGTTGGTAGCGATGAGGAGGGGTAGAATCGGAAGAAGAAGAGATTGGGATCTCATGTGTTTGTGATTTAGAGAAGCAGAAACCCATTATGTTGTGTTTCTTGAAAAAATGTTTTGTTCGAGTGTTTTGGTTTCTCTTGTTGTTTCTGGTGGCTTTATTGAGTTTTTTGAACATGTGATTAAAGTAGAAAGGATCTTCTGTCTTATTCTGTGTATTTTTGTTGTTTTTATTCTTATGGTTTTGTGTGTATAGAGAGGGATGATACATACGAATACATGTAATGAAAACATTTAAATGGAAAGGAAAATACTGACTTGAATTGGGGTTTGTGGATGCTTTGCTTTTGCGTTTTGACAAGGTTATGGTATCGTTTTGTCTTTCAATGTGTCCCTTTCGAGAGGGTCTCCATAGGTTCTCTGCTTCCTTAGCAGAATAATATACTAGTAATAATTAAAATCAACGCGTAACGCGTAAACATGAGTTTTACTTTATGATAATAGATCAAATAGTTAGATATTTGTTGTGAATTAAAGAAATTTCAAGAAGAGAGCATATACATAACAAGATTGTGATTGATTGGAAAAGAGACAAAACTCGGTTCGGTCAATAGTCACATTCATTGATTTCTTTATTTCGGTGCTATGTCTTGTCATCATCATCGCTTTCCTCTACTACTAAGATTTAGATTACTACAAACGTCATTAATACAAAACTACATCAGTTTTTTAATAAAGTCTCTGACAACGATTCCATGCAAGCTACCTTTGTTTTTTTGTATTCCACAAAAAGCGTAGTTGTAGATTATGTATTACAATTATGATAATCATTCTGAACCAATCTCAGCAAGTGTGCAAAAAACTTGCGACGAAATTACAAAAAAGCGAAAGTAAAATACGACATTGTTATATCGTTTAATTATGATCAAATTGAATAAATTACAGAACGAGAAAAAGAAGAAAAATATATATAACACAAAACAACACATCGCAAAATTCACACAATTTCTCTCAAAAAGAGTTTAGTACCTTAACTTGACTGACAAGGAAACAAACACAAGTGCCATTCTGATTCTTAGGTCGTTGTTGAGTCACGGCTGTAGAATTGGTCAAGTGTCTTTGCAGGGATACGGTGAAGAAGCTCTCGTGGGAAGATACGGAGTAATGTCCAAGCTAAGTCCAGTGACTGGAATATGTTACGTGTGTCATAAGCTCCTTGCATCACAAACTTCCTCTCAAACTTATCCAGAAACTCTAGGTAAAGCAGATCCTCTGACGAAAGTGCTTCTTCTCCAACCACAGCTTTCATGGCTTGCACATCTTTCCCGATTGCATAGTTTGCATATAGCTGGTTCGACACGTCAGAATGGTCTTTCCGAGTCATGCCCTCACCAATAGCACTCTTTAACATAAAGATAAGTTAATAAGACCCAGAGAGAGAGAATGTAATGGGAATGAATCAAATGAAATTAATTTCTAACCTTCATTAGACGAGAAAGTGATGGAAGCACATTGATGGGTGGATATATCTAAGAAACATATTTACATTTCATTCAGGGCCCAATCATATAATAGAAGCAAAACCACATTAACATCATGGCTCTATTTACCTGTCTGTTGTGAAGTTGCCTATCGATATATATCTGACCTTCCGTGATGTAACCAGTAAGATCCGGAGTTGGATGTGTGATGTCTGATTTAAAACAACAATGAGTTAAGTATTAAGGTTCTTAAGATATAAAACCTGTCTTAGGGGAATGATTTTCTTACCGTCATTAGGCATAGTGAGGATTGGGATTTGGGTGATGGAACCTTTTCTTCCTTCGATACGCCCAGCTCGTTCATATATAGTTGCAAGATCAGTGTACATATAACCTGGATATCCACGTCTTCCAGGTACTTCTTCTCGAGCAGCGGAAACCTACACTTTCTCAATCTTATTATCAAGTTTTTATACAAAAAACACATGTATGGAATAAAGGATCTACTAGTCAGGAATAGAAGATTCATTTTTACCTCACGAAGAGCATCAGCATAAGAACTCATATCAGTTAATATAACAAGGACGTGTTTCCCACATTCATAAGCCAGGTATTCTGCTGTTGTGAGGGCAATTCGAGGAGTGATGATTCTCTCAATGGTCGGATCATTGGCCTATTGGAATAATGGAAGGTCCAAATCAATTTTCATGTGAACAATGTACAATACTAAAAACAGCAAGATGTAGTAAACTTACCAAATTCAAGAAAAGGGTAACTCTCTCCATTGATCCATTTTCTTCAAAATCTCGCTTGAAGAACTGAGCTGTCTCCATGTTCACACCCATAGCTGCAAACACAATCGCAAAATTGTCCTCTCCATGATCCTGAAACAAACACAATAAGGGAACACAATCAAGGATTTTATTAGACATACAAACACTTGAATTTCCAGTAAAGCCAACGGAATTTCAAACTGAAGGCCTTCTAGATGTGTCACAAACTCATTGGCATACTTGTATAAATTTTATTTAAATAAGTGCGTTATGAAATATTTATGATTATAGTGAAATAAAATTTTATTAAAGAATCACCTCCAGTAGGTCAACAGTCTTTTCCAAACGCTTGACAAGACCAGCTTGACGACAAATCTGAGCAGCAATTTCATTATGAGGAAGACCAGCAGCAGAGAAAAGAGGAATCTTCTGTCCACGAGCAATGGAGTTCATGACATCGATTGTAGAGATCCCTGTCTGTATCATCTCCTCTGGATAGGTTCTTTCACTGGGGTTGATTGAACTTCCTATCAACATAAAACACTGACACATTAAAAAACACTGACCTCACTAGAGTAGTCATCTTATTTGAAGCTGACCTGAAATATCAAGGTATGCCTCAGGCAAAATAGGAGGGCCATTATCAATGGGCTTTCCAGAACCATTAAAAATGCGCCCAAGCATGTCCAAGGATACAGGTGTTTTCAAAACCTAAAACACCCACCAGTTACAACAACAAAAGAGAGAGAGAGAGGCCTTTGATGAATAAATCCACCAATCAAAACTTGTGTTCTGTATCGTAAATTACCTCTCCTGTGAATTGAACAGTGGTAAACTTATTGTCAATTCCAGAAGTTCCTTCAAAAACCTGAAACACACTTACACAAAACTAACTCCCTGAAGAAAGAAGTAACTCTACGCATTGTATTGATTCAAGTGTTTGATCCCAAACAAACCTGAACAACAGCTTTCTCCCCATCGACTTCCAAAACCTGACCACGTCTCGTCGATCCATCACCTAAACGAATATTAACAATCTCCTGATACTTTGGACCCTGATTTTTCATCACACAAAGTACACAAGAAGTGTTAGCTTTCAAAGTAGAGATTATTAGCATCGCTTGATGATGTACATACACATACCTTCACTTTGTCAAGAATCACTAATGGTCCAGCAACGCCAGAAACAGTTCTATACTCTACAATTCAAAACCGATCACATGCTTAATCAAAACGCAGATCACAACCAAAACAACAAGCTAGATAGATAGGGGAACGTTCTAACTTAAGCTCTAGAGATATGAATCGAAGCGTGAAGATCAGTATAGTTAGTGGCTTACCCATGCCGATCTCTAGAGTCCCTTCTTCCATGTCGATATCCTTCGCTCCCATTTTCAACTGATCAAAGTCAATCCAAATGACGATTCCTTCCCTGAAAGCAAGTAAATCAACGACGTGATTCGATTCAATCGTAGAATCGAATCGTGAAGAAGATTTGAGCAACGAGACGCGTACCTGTAAACGGTTCGATTCGAGCGCGAGAGAGAGAGAGAGACTTTCTTCTTCTCTGTGAGTGTGGACGTGTATTGGACCATTTCTCAATTAAGTTTCTTTTCTTTTAATTACTTTTGATAGGCTCATATTTTGTGATATTTACTATCCATGACCAAATAAATCTTTTGTTGTTTTCTTAACCCAAAATTCTTCCACAGTGGATAGCATTGGGGAAGAAAACATGAATCCAAATCTAATTATAAGAATATCTGAATGAATTCTGTTGTATGGTATTTTGCATTCTGGATTGGGACCAAGTTCAAATCCTCTAATATCTAATATCTCGAAAACTGAAGGTCTGGCCTTGCAATTTCAAAGACTTAGTGTTAATCACTGAATTTAGTTTTATAAAGTTTTGTTTTGTTCAATATTCAATAATCTTTATTGACACTTATAACTGATAAAAAAAGCCAAATATTTTTTTTAAAAAATTTATTGGATTATTGAATTGATGTGTTGTTTAACCCATTGAAATAATTAAATTACTAAAAAATAAAACAAGTGAGAACTTTGTATGACCATTAAATAAAAAATATTCATATGTATAATATATTCAGATTTTTGTTAAACAGTAAAACAGAGGCCTTTAAAATTGAGAGTTTGTGACAAATGTTTCACTGGATTTAATCTATATCACCCTGTGAAAATCTTTAAAAAAAACAATATGAGTCCAAAATATGTTTGAAACCTATTAATATTACTCAGTTTTATTTTTGTTTTGATATACTATATTATAATATTTGAACTCAAAGCATTATTGAATATTGTTTGAACCTGAATTGAGTTCCAGGTCTAAAATGATCAGAACTAAAAGCATTATTGAATATCGTTTGAACTTGAATTGAGTTCCAGGTCTAAAATGATCAGAACTCAAAGCGTTATTGAATATTGTTTGAACTTGAATTTAGACAAAAGTTATAAGATGTATCCAACACGAAGTATCCGATTCAAACATATATAAAACGTTTTATAGAAGACTGAACTCAAACGGAACCCCAAAACACCCATGTTCGATGGCAACTAGATTCCACCACGTGGGAATAAATTTAATCGACGCCCAGGGATGAAAGAACGTGTCTCACTTTAGCTTCCGATCAATCTTAGCCGTTGCTTTATACATTCACCGACAGCCTCTGACTCTCTTTTTGAGTTATCCCTCTGACATCCTAGGAAAAAAAAAATGATCAGAACCATTCTTATCCTCCTTGTCTTCTTCATCGGGACGCAACTCCACGCGCAGCTAACTCCACCGGCGAAGCCCGATGGTTTCATCTACCCACCGGGTCGTCATCGTGTTGACCTGGATACTATACTAATCGAGGCGTTTTATGACCCGGTGTGCCCGTATAGTAGAGACTCTTGGCCGCCGCTTAAACAAGCTCTTAAACACTATAAATCTCGCGTTTCCCTTCTCCTCCACCTCCTTCCGTTACCGTCAGTACTCTCTTGCCTCTTCTCCTTCCGTTACCGTTAGTTACTATAAATAGTAGTCATTAGTCAAGTAGCTTAGATAAAGTCAGGTCTTGATGAGTTTCATGAAACTGTGAAATGTTTTTTGTTATGGGTTTAATATTGTAATGAGACGGTTTCGGTTTTACTTAAGTTTCGGATCATGCAGGTACCATGACAATGCGTATGTAACCTCTCGTGCTTTACATATAGTGAATATTCACAATGCTAATGCTACCTTCAATTTGCTGGAAGGGTTTTTTAAGCATCAGGTTTGTTCAAATATTTGTTTGCATCTATGTATGTTATGTTTATATGGTTAAAATGAAACTGTTTATTGGCAGGCAATGTTCTACGGTGCGCAAACACAACTCATGACAAGACCTGAAGTTGTGGGAAGAATTGTCAAACTTGGAGCAACCACGTTGGGAAACTCTTATCAACATGTTCTTAAATCGGGCTTTAACGATACAAAGTCGGAACATGCGACCAGAGTTTCATTCAAGGTATTAACTAACTAGTACAAAAAATACTGTGTGTTTTAATGGCTTCAAGTTGAATGTTTGACCATGTTGATAAGTTCAAGTTTAGGCAAAAACTAATGGACTTGGTAGGTTCAAGTTTAGGGAAAAACTAATGGACTTGGTAGGTTCACATTAAAAGTCACTTATATAAATGTGGGTAATACATTTGAATCATTTAATAACTGATATAAGAGTTTAAAATAAGTGATACTGTAGACCTCTTTTTTTTTTAAGTGATTGTTGACCAGTTGTGTCGATACACAACATGGCCCAATCTCATTGTTACCAGGCTGAGAGGGAACCATAGAACTTTATAACTCATATTTTGCATTTTGTGGCATTAATGTGTGCAGTATAGCGCTTCAAGAAGTGTTTATGGGACACCAACCTTCTACGTGAATGGATTCAAATTGCCGGATGCTGATACTCCCTCAAAATTTGGAGGATGGAAAAAAATTATTGATTCTCTGGTTCAACCACACAAGGGTACAAGTTAGCTAGAGATGCAAGATGATCTCATTTGACCATCTCAAGTGTTTTAGCTTGTTTTCACATCCATATCATATAATAAAATCACAGTGCTATTTAACGATATGCACTTGGTCAAACAACCTGTCTATTGTATAATGAAACATCTTCATTGAATGACTTGTTGGGTTTCGATTTTAAAAAGACAAAAGTAGGACTCGTCTTGTCATGGTTTTCATTATTCATTTTCTATCTGGTTTTGTGATTTTTATTAGAGAAGAACTATTACTTAGGCCACATCCTCTTCTCCTTTTTCTTCAATCAACATCTCTTCTACAGTTGAGTTTAGGTGGACAAAATATACTCTTTTGTGTCTTTGCGTACCGATTCTAATGTGGTGAGCAGTTAGATTTTTTTTCTAAGCACTTCTTGTTCTTGCTTTTGCAATATATGATGTTGGTTCTTCTAGTCTTGTGTATATATTTGTTGTCTCTAATAAGACAATACGTTGAAAGGACATACTTGATTCGCACGAAAGCAAAGACACAGAAGCCAGTAAGCGATTTCTCAAATGACTTGATTGGGTTTTTGCATAATCGTGATAATTTGAGTATCAGTGGATGAAATGGCACCGTATTTACGGTTTAGATACATAAAAAAAAAAGATAAACGCCGTTGCCGGGGATCGAACCCGGGTCACCCGCGTGACAGGCGGGAATACTTACCACTATACTACAACGACCTTGTTGTTCTTTCAACGAAGTTAATCTTTGATTTACCCTAAAAACCCAAATAAATCTGTCTTGAAGAAAAAGAAAAGGTTTACACAACACTTGCACATACCCTGAAAGCAAAGCACCTCTCCTCCTCCCACACAGAAACAAACAAGATCCCTCTCCCTGAGATTCGCTCGCAGCCAGCCAAGATGACGACTCCAACTCAAGACGTGGAGATGAAAGACAACCAAACCCCAACCCAATCCATCCTCTCAACCACCACATCAACACTCCACCGTAAACAAAATCTTAATTACTTTATTTTCTTTCAAATTTTAAATCTCGATTCGATTCGTTAGGGTTTTAAAAAAAAATCGATTTCGCAGATCTGAAGGAGATTGCTGCTCTGATCGATACTGGCTCATACACCAAAGAAGTCCGCCGTGTTGCTCGCGCCGTTCGCCTCACCGTGGGGCTAAGAGGGAAGCTAACCGCTTCTGTTATCTCTTCGTTCCTTGACTTCGCCTTGGTTCCTGGATCTGAGGCTCACGCTCGTCTCTCTTCCTTCGTTCCTAAGGTAACACTTGTAATTGATTCGATTGAGAAAAAAGTTTTGATGCTAGCTAACACTTAAATTGAATCTGTTTGACAGAGTGATGAGGTAGATATGGAGGTTGATACAGCTTCGTCTACTTCCTTGGCTGCATCCAAGCACTTACCTGTGGAGCTTGAGATTTACTGTTACTTCATTGTTCTCCTTTTCCTGATTGATCAGAAGAAGTACAACGAGGTTGATTTTGCTTATTTATCTCTTTGTTTTGTTGATGTTTGTTGTGATTGTAAAGTGTTTTGCTTTTTTTTTTTGTTTGAAGGCAAAAGCTTGCTCTTCAGCTAGCATTGCTAGGCTCAAGAGCTTGAACAAGAGAACCGTTGATGTGATAGCTTCGAGATTGTATTTTTACTTTTCTTTGAGTTATGAGATGACTGGTGATCTTTCTGAGATTCGTGGGTGAGTTATGAGTTTATTCCCTGACGATTTGTTTTCAGTTTGTTATATTGGCTCTTAACTAGTTGAATTTACTTCTGCTTGTAGTACTCTTCTGGCATTGCACCACTCTGCAACACTGCGCCATGATGAGTTGGGTCAGGTGAGTTCTCTACTAATGATATATACACTCAAAACTATTGATCCAATTTTGGTTTTGATCATTCATGTAATTTCGTGAATGCAGGAAACACTTTTGAATCTCTTGCTCCGCAACTACCTGCACTACAACCTTTATGACCAAGCGGAGAAGCTGAGATCCAAAGCACCCAGATTTGAGGCACATTCTAACCAGCAGGTATCTTTTATTCTTTCATACACTTGGTTATTTTTGCATTCTAGATTGTAGTTTCTGTATTGGCTTGTATGGTTATTGCGTTTGTATGTATCCTTCTGCATTTATATATCTCCGGTTACGCTCTTGTTTGCCCATTATTCTCTTAAATTTCTTTTCTCTGAGCCTTCTTGCGTTTTCCTTACTTCCATATTCAAGCTGTATTAAAGTATACATATTTAGACGTATCTCAGACAATATGTTCATGCAGTTCTGTAGGTACTTGTTTTACCTGGGTAAAATCAGGACGATCCAACTCGAGTACACTGATGCAAAAGAGAGCCTCCTCCAGGCGGCTAGAAAAGCACCCATCGCTGCTCTCGGCTTCAGAGTCCAATGCAACAAGTGGGCTATTCTGGTCCGACTTCTCTTGGGTGAAATTCCAGAGCGTTCCATCTTCATGCAGAAAGGAATGGACAAGGCTCTTAGGCCATACTTCGAACTTACAAATGTGAGTATCTCAGTCTCAGCAGTTTCGTGTGACACATTCTAAAGGAGCTCTTACCAATATGTTTGGAATTTTGACAGGCTGTGAGGATTGGTGACTTGGAGCTCTTCAGGAACGTCCAAGAGAAGTTTGCAAAGACATTCTCTGAGGACAGGACTCACAACCTCATTGTCAGGCTCCGTCACAACGTGATCAGGACAGGACTACGCAACATCAGCATCTCCTACTCAAGAATCTCTCTTACAGACGTCGCTCAAAAGCTAAGGCTGAACTCTGCAAACCCTGTCGCAGATGCAGAAAGCATTGTCGCTAAAGCCATAAGAGACGGAGCAATCGACGCGACCATCGACCACAACAAGGGTTGGATGGTCTCAAAGGAAACAGGAGACATCTACTCCACCAACGAGCCTCAGAACGCGTTTAACTCGAGGATTGCTTTCTGTCTGAACATGCACAACGAAGCGGTGAGAGCGTTGAGGTTCCCGCCGAACACTCACAGGGAGAAAGAGAGTGAGGAGAAGAGGAGGGAGATGAAACAGCAAGAAGAGGAGCTTGCTAAATACATGGCTGAGGAAGATGACGACGATTTCTAGATTTGATACCAAATGCTAGCGTCTCTTTTGTTATATCAAAATTATCTGACATTTTTTCTTCTTGTTATGCACTTCGGTTCTTTTACTTTATGAGAAACAGAACTCAATGTTTTTACTTTTTTTACTTGTGGTCTTTTTTTTTAAGAGCTCATCCACCTAAGGATTCTTCAATTGGTTTATGAAGATTCAGTTTCTGTTGTTTTATTCCATTTCGGTTTGAGTTAGTCTTCGTAACTAAAGAATACAGAAAGAAAGTTTTATACAAAAATAAATGTTGCATAAATTTTCTTTAACAAAACATGAATATGAAATACAATAAGAGCTAATTAGCTTAAAACAAATCGTTTTTAAAATCAACAGACGAATCCCTGAGGAAGAGTCTTGCCACAAGAGTTGAGAAGCAAAGAGAGAGCAACAGGAAGTTTGACCGGAGCGACTACTCCAAGTAGGGTGGTTTTAAGGGTGGTGCAAAGACAAACAGCAGCTTCAAAATCAGCCAAACCTTTGACAAGTGAGCAACACTCCTTGCTCGGTGGTGTACCGATGACCTCATGAACTAGACCTAACCAGCTCCCACACACTCCAAACTTGAGTGTGTCTCTCGGACATTTCATGGTGGATGATTTTTTTGTGGGAGGAGGAGGGCATTGCTTAACGGCATGACAAAAGGAGAATGTTAAGTTGAGGAGGAGTAGCAACAAGACGAGAAGCAATGGAAAAGCTTTTGAAGTAGCCATTGGTTTGAGTTTGAAGCTATAGCTACGGGATAGGCCTTTTAATTTGCTTTCTCTGGTGGGGCGTTTTATCATTGTGCATGTGGCTACAATAGTTTGTGTTATCTCTAGTGGAGTACTCTACATAGAGATAAAAATTTATCAGAATCTGGAGTAGTAACATATATAAAAGTCTGAATGTGGTTTAGGGTGCTGAAATTAAAAACCCAAAAACTTTATCCAATTGGGTAGAAACCTTTCTAAGAATTATATATGGGCTTTTATTTCTGTAGAAATTTAATTTGGGCCTTTAGCTTTGTAGAAATATAGAAGAAACTTTTGTTTTGTTTTGTTAAGTTTGTGTAGGGTGGTTAGGATTAAGTCAGATTAGAACTTCATGTTCGACAATATTCTTAAAGCTGTTGTGTTTTATCTGACCAGAAAAATTGTGGTAGAAAAGATCTTGTTTTGGTCTGATGTTTTTTGGTGAAAACAGTATATAATTTTGTTTTTTAATAAGCAGTTTGAGTATAATTGGTTACACAAAAATCCACTAAATAGTAAATAGCTTATTTATATTTTAATTAAAATTACTTTATAATATCAATCATGAGTACAATATATAATTTTAAGGCTTTGACTTTGTCAAGGTATATCTGAAATTAATTCTGTTTAATTCCAAATAGAAAAAGGATTGTATTTATTTATTTATTTTTTTGTTTTTGGTTCAATCTAATTTTTATTTCTTAAGTGTAACTGGACTAGGAAGAACATCACACTATATATTTACCCTAAGTGTTGTTTTATTTTTCTATGTTTCTGATCAATCCCAAATTTGTTCAGCGGTTATTAGTTCTCTAAACTTCTTAATAACGATGAATAGAAGAACTAACACAGCTCAAAATCGATTTGATCATTCCTCCTCTAACCAAGTAAATATGCCAACAGTGGGGCAAGTGCAACCTCAGCTGCCTCCACCACTGTTAACTTCTCCGCAGTTTTCTTTCTTGTCTGTGCTTGGTCAGTTATTTTTAATTGTATAAAGGTTTTCTACAACTAAATTATTTTAAGTTTAATTTCACTAACTTTCTGTGAATGTTACAGATTTATCGGATATTCCGAATCTAAGGAGTTTGGCATTAATGTCTGATTTATCGTCTAGAATTCGCAGTCAGATTGAATATTATTTCAGGTAAATTACTCTATCTTTTTTTTGCTTTATTATTCGCTTTATTGGATTTTCTCGTGATATTAATATATAAATTGTGTAATTAATAATACAGCGATGAAAATCTGGTGAGAGATCACCACTTGAAATTTCTCATGGATAATCAAGGATGGGTTGATGTCTTCCCCATAGTAGAATTTAGACGAGTAAGTAGTTTTAAAGTTTTTAATTAATAGGAATATGTTGGTGTTGAAGAATACTATGTCTAATATCATTTTTTTTTGTCGACCAGATTAAAGGGATGACCGATGATATAAGCTTGATATTGCGTTCGATGGTATCATCAAGAACCGTCGAGGTGCAGGTAAATTCCTGATTAGTTTCTTTATTGTCTTAAACTCATAGCACTGTAGATAGATGGGACTAAAAAAACTCATAGAGATATTTTATTTTAAATTATGTAGGTTTGCAGATTAAGGAAACGTCAGGGATGGGAGAGGTGGATTAAGAAGACTCGAGATACCATTAGCGATATGGTGAAAAAGAGATTAAGGATTAAACTGAAATATTATCGTTTCTTACAGTGTCGATATAATTTTGAATGAAGTGTTACTCATGGTCTCGTGTTTTTAAATTCAGTTATGTATGTGGTGGCATAGAAACGCAACTGACAATACTATAGACAAAACCAAACTAATGTAGCATATTACGATGTTTTTTTTTCTTCTACAGTTTGAAAAATGGGAACATTGACGATTGAAATAGTCGATAATTATTTTGATGTTTCTATAGTTTTAGACTTTTACTCGAAGACACGAAGGTTTTCCATAGCTGACAATTTGACATGGGCTTGCATAGTTCATCCCTTCATGGCGATCATGCAAAAGTCTTGTCCTTAAGATATCAAAAAATAAAGTAAATGTAATTACTATTGAACAAAAATACTATTCAGCATCAATCCGTTGTCGTCCAGCGGTTAGGATATCTGGCTTTCACCCAGGAGACCCGGGTTCGATTCCCGGCAACGGAGCTTTTCATTCTAGGGATGTTTTGGAGAGAGTCTACTCGCTGCTGTGCATTAGTGTTTATCTGTCTGCATCATGTGAATTTACGCTCTTTTTTTTTTTTGCAAATGATTGAGTATGTGTGTCTCTTTTGTATTATTGAGAAACCAACATAGCAAAGAAATGCACAAGTGCTTGCAGATATAACCTAGTATCAAAACAAAATACAATGAGCAACAGATTTGGATTTTTGAGACAGGAAAATTCTTTTTTATAAGGTGTTCTTAGTAATGTTTGTATGTTTTGGAAAGATCAAATGTGAGCTTTTATAGCTGAACTTGATGGCGGAAGAGGGTGCACTTAGAGCAAAGCAGGAAAACATAGTTTATGAATCTGCATTCTACTAAATGTTTATTCAATTGTCTAAGCTACTTCTTTGTTTTCTTTTCTTCTTCTTCCAATCTTGATCTCTCTTTCTTCTTCTTTACATTTTAACAAAAGCAAAAGATCTCTGGCCAGCAATAAGCAATGACAATAGACGATGCTACACTTGCTGGGACAGACACTAACAGGACTATCTAATTTAATTTGATGATAACCCTTAAATTTGAAGGCAACCAATGTCTCACACACTACAATCAATGAGTGATTCTCAGAACATGTTGCTGAGTGATGCAGCAAAACATCGTTTTTCTGATTCCGAGAGAGAACGTCAAAGTTCAGTTCTTGAGTTATTATAGGATACTTGTTATTGAGGAGTACTAGTGTGTATCTTACATACTAGTAGATTAGAATTAGATAGACGACGGACAAGATATATCAAACCAACAACACTTAGAGAATGATTATCAGCATAAAATTATGAGTCATTGGTTCATTATTATAAATAGAAAAGCCCTACGAAGAACATCAATTTTCATTTAAGTAGATAAGAAGAACATAAATAGTCAAAGGAAGAAACTTGTTAGGTTTACTTCAACGACAACGACCTCTCTTTGATCCATTACTCGAAAGCCCATTGGTTCTCCCTACGCACCTCCTCTTCCTCCTCAGCTGTAAAATCGTTCTTGATGTTGAAAGTGGTGCGAATCTCGTCAGGAGTCTTGCCTTTGATCATATCAGCCACTGTCTGGCACGTAAGGTCAAGAAGATTCTGGACGTTCAGATAATTAGCAGCCTGCAAAAACCCAATAATCAAAACCCATTAGATCCAAATCCAAATCAAACACTAACGACAAAGTACCACCAAAATCTCAAACCCTAATTTCCCAAATCAAAAACCCTAAAATCCTCGAATCCCGAAATCAAAACAAAAAGTAACAAAATTGAAAGAACTAACACACTATGATCAAATTTCTGAAAGAAACCCCCAAAATCACAAACCCTAATTCCCCAAATCGAAAACCCTAAAATCCCCAAATCTCAAAATCGAAACAAAAAGTAACAAAATTGAAATCAGAACAACACAATGATCAAATTTCCCAAACAAACCCCTAAAATCACAAACCCTAATTCCCCAAATCAAAAACCCTAAAACCCCCAAACCCCAAAATCAAAACAAAAAGAAACAAAATTGAAAATCAGCAACACACAATTCTCCAAATTCCCAAACAAACCCCCAAAATCCCAAACCCTAATTCCCCAAACCTCAAACCCTAATTTCCCCAAATTTGAAAACCCTAAAATCTCGACAAAGAGGATGGAAACGAACCAGGATGAGTTCAAAGAGGGTAGATTGATCGATCTTCATAAACTCAGCATCCCACGCCTTGACCTCATCATCTAAAGAAGCACCACCATCAGCAGCCTCGGCCTTAGCAGCAGCGGCGTCGACGTGCCTTTTGCAGTACTCAATCACCTTAGCGAGGATCGTGCCGGTGACGTTAGGAAGAGGGATAGCTTCAGCGACGCAGTCGTCTTCAATCATGTTAGCTAGGGTTCCTGCCTGAAGAGCAACAGCCTCGTCAATTATGAAAGACTCTCCATCGGAGCTCGTCAACTCAATCTTCTTCGTCGTCGACATTTTTTTTTTATTTGATTTAATTGGAGAGATATTTGTTTCTAGAGAGATTTGTATTTGAGCGATGATGAGAATATGAGAAGAGATGTGTCTCCTTTATATACTAAAAAAATCCCTAATTTTGATGAGTCGGTTGATTATTGGAAAGTAATCTCCAGATTAATGAATTAAGGAAAAGTTTGATTTTTTTTTTTTTTTTTTTGAGAAAGTAATGGGTGATTTTTTTCTATAAGAACATTAAGGAAAATATAGAAAAGAATACCAATTTCATTAAAGTTAAAACCTTTTTATTAAATTTAATATGCTTAATTTGTTATTTGTGCTGAGATTTTTGGATAGGTTGATTTATGATTGTGATCAACTCATAATTACTTTAAGATTTTCTTATGATTATTAGACAAAATGAGTAGATTTGAAGTTTAAGGGTGTTATTTTCCAAGAGTGAATCTTAAAAAAATCTTAAATTTTTTGTAATATTACCTCATAATATTTCTATTTGATTCATAAAGACAACAAGAGTGTCAGTGACGAGGTCACGGATCAACTAAATGTTGTTTGTTTTAAATCCCTTATATATTAAAAGAGAAGCATTTTGTATTAAATGTTTTCACATCACCTTCTCACAATTTATTACCTTATTTACTACCTTCTCACAATTTATTACCTTATTTACTACATTCTCACAATATATTACCTTATTTACTTCAACAATTGTTTACCTTATTTACTTCAATTATAAAACACACGAGATACTTTAAAACTACAAAGTTCAATATCGCATGAGACAAGTTCGGAGGT